GTACTTACTTGTCTAGGTGCTCCATGAAAGTGTCCTTAACCTCACACACCCTCACCTCACCCAAAATATTTATAAACAGCTACACATCTATCAGTTACGGTCTTTGGAAATACTTTTAAGTGCTAGTTTTTAATTTCATAGAACCATTTTCACATTTTAATTTATCCATTCTCTCTCTTTCTCCCATTCCAAATTCAGCCAGAACGCACCCCTCTGTTTAATCCTTGCTGAGGGTCGGAGGGATGGTGACGTCCATTGACCCCCGCTTCGACACAAGTCAGCTGCTACACTCGCAGATGGTCGTCTGAATTTTGCCAGACGAAGAAGACGAATCGGAATTTTTGGAAGGGCGGCCATTTTTGAGATTTCGCGAGACTTGGCGGTACCGCGAGAAGAGACGCTTGAATTCGTCTCCGAACTGTCGGTTGCAATAGCCATAAATGAGCGGGTTGAGCGAATTACTGAGAAAGTAGGACCTCATGCCGATGCAGTAGAACAGTTCGGCCAGCGGGCTCATTGAAATCTCATATTTTATGATGGTACGGGCCACTTGCAGTGAGAGGCAGGGGATGTAACTCAGGATGAAGAGCAAAGTGACGAGAAAGACGGTCAAGTTGGTGCGGTTCATTGTCTTGCTGCTCGCCTTCTCGTTCACCAGGGCTGGGGTGGTGGTGGTTGGTACTTCCAACGGCACGCTTGGCCCACAGTTGCTCCCGCCACCACTGATGGGGTTCGAACAGCGGTTTCTTACTTCAAGCCATAGCAAAAGGTAGCAGATGGACATCGCGACGAAGGAGGAGATGATGATGAGGAAGACAATAGCGAAGTAGATAACAGGGAATTTGGTGTTGCGCACTGAGTCAGAGATGGAGCAGTCAGTGCCGTTAATATGCGGAATACGGGTTTCGTGTGTCATCTTGCCGGCTGCGTACAGCATCGGCGAAGTGACGATTATACCAATAGTAGAGATGACCAATGAAATGATCTTCGCTTCACGCACTGTGATTTGCTTTTTGAACGGCCGACAGACCCTCTTGTAACGGTCGATAGCAATAACTAGAAGAATAATGCTCGAGCTACCCGTGGTGAAATAGGACAAGAACCTCAAAGTCTTGCAAGCGATCATCGAGGGAAACATGAATGGATAGCGCATGTCCAGAATCTCTGTCGGCATTGCAATGCAACAGGAAAGAATATCGAAGACAGCCAGCACAATGATAAAACAATGGGTCGGCAACATTTTCAGACGATAGCCGTAGATGTAACAGGTTACTGTATTGCCAAAAAGCCCAACAATCATGAGGATGATGGTGTAAATAATGGCCGGGATACGGAGCATGGCCTTTTCGTCGTTCAATTCTTGGAGGGTGATATTTGGATAGCCTACGGGTACGGCGACCGGCGCTTCAATAGATTCAGCGGCCATTTTGCCAGAAGTGAAATTCATTGTTGATAAACGACTTTCTGCCAATTGTTTCTCTTTTCTTGAAGAGCAGTTAGCGTCACCTGTTGAATAAAAAAAATAGAGGAAAATCCCATATTAGTTCAAGAATATTTATTTGAAGACATTTGCGGCATTATCGTCTAAGGTGCTCTGGATATATTTGGTATATATACAGGGTTTCCATAAAGTTCGTGTGCACTTAAAAAAATTATGACTTTATTTGTATTTGCGATAGAAATAATCTGTAAAAAATGTTATAAAGTTTAATGTACCTAGTTTTAAGTATGGCTAAATTAACTAATGTGATTTCAGGCATTACTGTAAATCAGTTGGCAAATGTTTTCCGTGAACTGCAAAATCGTATTACCCTTTGCATTGCGAATGATGGAGGACATGTTGAAACTTAAATAAAATTTCAATAAAACCTTAAAAATATAGATTTACTTCTTTCTAATCCTTTTTACAAATTATTTCTATCGCAAATACAAATAAAATTATAAATTTTTTAATGTGCACACGAACTTTATGGACATCCTATATATATATATATATGTGTGTGTGTGTGCGTGTGTGTGTGTGCGTGTGTGTGTGTGCGTGCGCGTGTGTGCGTGTGTGTGCGTGCGTGTGCGTGTGTGTGTGCGTGTGTGTGCGTGTGTGTGTGTGCGTGTGTGTGTGTGTGCGTGTGTGGGGTATCAAATATGTGGTGCGGTTCAATTTATATTACAATGAATCGTTCATACAAAACATAGATTAGTAAAGTTAATGATATAAAATGGCGAAATCCGTTCGATAAAATTTTAAAGGTGCATTATCCTACTAATCACTCGATGAATGTTATGATCCTTGTATATTAAGATTATAAACTGTATTAGGTCTTTCATTAATACGCAAGTACTTTCGACTGTACATTCAGTCATCTTCAGGCATGGAAATTATTTTTTTTTTTGGTGAAATTCAGGTAGCATCCGAGATGAAAAAATTAAATGCGAATCGAAATATGTTTTTTTTTTAATGTGTTATTGATAACGAATACAAACTTTTGGAGCGTGCAGTCGCAACGCTAAGGTTGAATTTTATTTAATTTTTTTTGAAAATTTAAGTGAATGCGTTTTTCACTAATATAGCAATTTGAGAATTTTTTCTAAAATTTTTCAAACTTCCTGCGTCGCTCGTTTCGTGCTCAGGTGTAGACGTGATAACGTCATCAAAGCCCACTCCGATGAAACCCTGACGGATGAAACGTGTCACAAAAAAAAATATATATATATATATATATATATAAAAATATATATATATATATATTTTGTCATATTTTTTTAAATACTGTTTGTTGGTGATATATAAAATTATACAAAATTATATATATATATATATATATATATATATATATATTGCTGTAAAAAATACATATGCTCTGTTAAAATAAAACATCGAGCTCCCTGTGGATCGGCTTTAATAATTAATATTACTAGGATCCACCCGGATTATATACCAACGAATCGATTACATACATACATACATACAAATATATATATATATATATATATATATATATATATATATATATATATATATATGAGAAATATAGTCTTAAGATGTGCTATATTTATAGGATAAAGTGCTCAATATCAGAGATAGAGCGTGTGTAAATATAAAAATGAATATAAAAGTCAACACTCAGAGGCGACAGTCTGTCTCATGCTATAGGCAATCGATTGCATCTAGCATGAAACAGACTGTCGCCTCTGAGAGTCATTGAAAAAAGAATGTCATCAATTATCAAACTTATACTTTGAGAAACTTTTGAAACGAATGCTAAACATTTGGGCTTCTGTAATCAAGGCTAAAGAAGGATCATATTTTTTGTCATAATAAAATTTCTAATAAAATATCATGCCTCACGTTTTTTTTTAATAATGTATAATAATTTTCTCTTATATAAAGTACAAAACAAAACTACTTATTGGTCCAATTGAAAATTACCGGGCGTGTCCTCAAACATTTGAACTGTGGTGTATATATCCGCACATACGCATACACACAGGAATACACACTCATATATATATATATATATATATATATATATATATATATATATATATATAAAGATATGAAAAATAAGGAACCTTACACACGTAAAACTGTCAGTACCGGAAAACATCTGGTAGCGCGCGTAAATTTTTATATTTTGTTGTGTATCTATGTCTATTTCTGAGATGAGGTATTGTAATTATTTACACTATTCACGTTGTTAGTAATTTTGGCCTCATCGTTGTTGTCATATTCAGGACGTTTCGGCCATTGTACGCTCTGGCTTCCTTCAGGTGATTGGAATTTCGAACCGAGCTATTTATTTCGTCCACCAGGATAGCTTGTTCCAGTTCCACGTGCCAAGCCTCACGCGGATATCTCAGTTTCAGCTATTTCCCTTTAGCTCAACTCTCCAAGTGTTTGTTCACCCCTGCTGTGGCCAGGTATTGAACTCACGACTCTTTGGGTCAAGTCACTGGATTACTTAAAACCAACGCTTTTACCCACCGGGCCATACACCTGAAGAACGCGGGGGCGTACAACGGCCGAAACTTCCTGAATATGACAAGAAAGATGTGGACAACAGTCCGAACAATGTAAATATTCTAATTAAATTTTCTTTTGTTTTTGATCTTTTACGACATTGGCGTTTTTGACATACATATTTCAGGTGTTTATATATATATATATATATATATATATATATATATATATATATATATATATAATAGCTGTCCAAACTATATAGTTGATAAACAAATAAGATGCTTTCTTAGAAGTTTCAATACTAAGCAAATAGAATATAATACTGCTTCTACTAATCTCAAACATATTAATCTCCTATATCGTAATAAAATGCATACAAATTATAAACAAGATGAAACTTATACTAAAAAAAATTAGTAAATACTAATATATCTACAACAGATTCCAGCAAAAAATTAATTTAATCATATACTAAACTAAATCTAGTATATCCAACTCAATTATTTGCAATTATTCTTCTCCCCCGGTTAGCGATTTGCAAAAAACCAACATAGTTTATAAATTCAAGTGTAGCTATGGGAGATTGTATCTCCAACGGATTAAATAATATTTATGTTGGTCACACCACAAACTCGCTTTCATGAGGCTTGACACTACATTTGAATGAAAACTATAACATTTTTAGGCATTTAAAACAATATGCCTGGCCGCACACACAATTCCGGAAAATCCTCGTTGAAAACACAACTATACTTAAATATGAAAACAAAAACTAAAACTTCTCGAAGGTATATACATAAAACAGTTAAAACCTAACCTGATCAAAATAAACTATGAAATCTCCACAAATATTTTAAAATGCCTATAATTGATAACAGAAGCCATTGGTTTATACCAATGGCTTCCTATACGTAATACTTCTAGTTTTCACTCTCGCGTGGTCATGTGTGACGTCTTGAGCTGCGGTGAGATTTTCGTTTCCTGCGTCTCATATGCACGAAATTGTCGTTGCTTGAAAATCTTCCATGTAAAAAATTAACAGACTATCATTATTGTTTTGTTTATACATTATGTTTGTGTATTGTTTAATATATTGTAATGTAATCGTCATCTTTGATAATGTCTTGTGTAAGCCGAAAGCTTAGATAGGATTAAAAAATATGTATTAATATGGTGATTTTCTTTCTTCTTTTAATGATAATGTTATTAAGCTTATCAGACAATATAAAAGGCATTTACATAAAATAAATATACAAAACTTGCCTATATTATTTGATTAAACATGCATTAATGAAAAAATGCTGCCTAAATACACACACACAACATATATATTTTTATGTTTATACATTCTTTTTATAGATACAAATATTTAAGTAAATGCTCTGTTTATAATAAAGAGTATTAAACAACATTTACCGGTCTGAATACAGATTCGAATCCTGTCGGAGGACAAATATTTTCTGTGAAAATTTCTCGGACATTCAGGCTGGTAAATGTGTTTTAATACTGTTTATTATAAACAGAGCATTTACTTAAATATTTGTATCTATAAAAAGAATGTATAAACATAAAAATGTCTTAAAATAATTGTCGGATTTTGCCCATTTCATAATATATATATATATATATATATATATATATATATATTGTTCTAGTGTCTTTACTGCCTTGTATGGGTTGATAAAGATTAAATAAATATCATTGGATAAAGAATAAATAGAAAACATTTCGCATTCTGGCATGTTTCACTTTTATTCAAGCTTCATCAGACAATAAGATATATATATATATATAAAAAGAGTTTCTGGTATAAAAATAACAGAATTTCTTTTTTCTCCATATCCCATTCTATGATAAAGCTTTAATAAAAAATGAAACATGTTAGATTGCTAAATGCTTTCTATTTATTCTTTATCCAATTTTTTTTTTTTTAAGCATTTCACCCCAAGCAAGGCGGGGAGCCACTAGGACGCAAGGGGTTACAGAAAATAGGAAGATCAGATAGGAGTGATAGAAGAATGGATGAGGGTAGTAGATAGATTAAGGCAACTGGAGATGTCGATTGACATTACACTTGAATAGCTGGAGATTATAACTCTCAGGGAAACAGGAGAAGGGAAGAGAGTTCCACAGGCGAGAGGTGCGAGACATGAAGCTATTAGAGTAGAAGAGACGGCTACATTTATGAGTTTCGACAGTGAAGGGGTGAGAGCGGGATGCCAGCCTCGTAGGGCGCTTGAACTCATGAAGTTTGGGAACCAGCGAATGCAGTTCCTCGGAGCAATTTCCATGAAAGTATTTGTAGAACAGACAGAGGGAGGCGACGATGCATCTGTGAGAAAGTGACTGTAGACGAGACGCCAGGGCAGGGCCAACCATATTGCATATCCGCTTCTGGAGCCTATCAAGAACCCCGAGGCAAACAGAAGGGGCGCCAGACCATATATGGCAGCAATACTCCATGCAAGGGCGAATTGTGGATTTGTATATCTGGAGGATCGACTCAGGGGAGAAAAACTTCCTAGCACGGCTCAGGGAGCCAACTTTCCTCGCAGTGGACGAGGCAATTGACTCGATGTATTTATTCCATCTCAGGTCAGCAGTCAACGTGAGACCGAGAAGCCGCAGATTATATTTATTTAAGCGTTTCTTATTTGTTCTATATCTTATCTTTCTGTCGGATCCCAATTCATCTTTGATCCCAATTCATCTGGTCGAAAACACTAAAATTCTATGTAAATCAAATTACCAAAACATCTCGTTATATCAAACATCTCTCTCCTACTATCTACCTCACCTTCTTTAACAACAGGATTGATTTGCTGAAAGTTGTTTTTTTTTTTAAATAGAAAGGCGCTCACTCAAGTTCAAGCCGCTCTCAGCTGGCGAAAGCTTGGAATAAACGCTCCTAGTTATATTCAAAACAACACAAAAAATTCATCTCCAACAGTCAATCAAGAAGAAAAACTAACAAAACAAAACAAAAAAAAAAAAAAGAAAAAAAAAAAGAAAATGAAAATGACTAACGAAGTGGTCGAAATCTCTTGGGATAATGGACGATATGGACAGTTTTTTTTTTACTTCCTCACTCTCACCAAACGGAAAAATATAAGTACACTGGAAAAACTAAATGAAAAATTGATAAAATTTTCCTTGTCTGCCATATTTAACGAAAGATGTTTAAAAGAAAGGTTACTGTCCAAATATATATATTTTGAATTTAAACCCCAATAATATATTTGGTTTATACTAACTTTGAGCTTTAAATCTGCGTATAATTTAGCGTTCCTCCCATGATACCAAGTATTTTTAAAAAAACAACTGTAACACGCGGCTCTATAAGACATACGTACCTGACAATTTGGGAAACCATGAAACATTAATTTGCACGACAAACGTAAGTATATGTGTATTTATTAATATATACTTCAAAGCTCTGTTTAAATACACTGAGAATGCATATATATATATATATATATATATATATATATATATATATATATATATATATTTAAATATAGTTTTAAGGTATGCTATATTTATGGGTTAAAGTGCTTACTATCAGGGATATAGCGTATGTAAATATCAAAGTGAGTTTTGAGGTCAGCACCAAGTGGCGACTGTCTGTTTCATGCTTGAACGAAATCTTCGGGCCATGTGTGCTGTGTATTGGCGCGACTATTTATATATGCTGGTTAATCCGCCGATAGAATTAAACACTAAGTGTTTTTGACCTTGGCGAGGACCTCGGCTAAGAGGGATGGGCTCCGCCATCTCTACTTGCTCATTGCATCTGAATGAATATGTTGTGGATTCCGGGACGAAATTCGGTCTCCAATGAATGACAAACGCAGGAATGAAATATAGCAAATAAATGTATTTACACAATAATACAATTGGTAATACGGCTAGTAGATCCAGAAACGCGGTTAGTAGCAATAATATATATATATATATATATATATATATATATATATATATATATATATATATACAGTCTGGTAAATTCAGTCTCGAAGTAGGACTTCCTTAGGGTCTACGTGCTTATAACTGTGACTTCTACAAGCGGTTACCTCACACTATTACTCTACCTCCAACTCAATCACAATCACTGTCTCTGTCTACTCTCACTACTCTGACTGACTCTGAGTATTTAACGGCAGCAGTCCAAGTACACACTGGTCGAGTGCACTTGTATGAAAAAGGGGTGGACCCCATAACAGAATACCTAATCGGCTTTCAAGGGGGAAGTGGAATAGCGAAAAAGCCCCCCCCCCGAAACTAAGATGTGAAGACGTTGAAATGTCTCCCTAGAAATAAAGGAAAGAAAATGTGTTAAACTGATGCGTCATACCTAACCTTCAATAGATGCGAGACAATTTCCTCAAAGATGAAGACGAGATCTGAAGCGACAGAGATGTGGTTTTACAGATGAACACTGGGAATAACATGGACAGAACGTGGGAGCAATGAGGAAGTTCATTAAAAGATAGGAACCCGGAAGACGTAAAACCAGAAAGAGACAACTGAAATTTCTGGGACGCATTATGAGGAAAGACGGCTTGGAAAATATAATACTCACAGGATCTATCGAGGGAAGCAGTGGGTAATTTAAAAAGGACGGTAGGGCAAGGGCAAGAAGAAACGTTGGTAAAACGCCAAACGTTACTCAGTGATACAAGGAGCAGGAAGTTGTGGAGACCCATGATTGCCGACGCCCGGAAGGGAGAAGAGATATAAATGTACATTATTTACATTATTCGGACTATTGTCCTCATCTTTGTCGCCATATTTATTAGAACGTTTCGGACGTTCTACGCTCCGGGCTTCTTCAGGTGATTCGAATGTCAAACGGAACCCTTTTTTTCGCTCACTGATGAAGACTGTTCTAGTTCCACGTGCCATGTTTAATGGATGTCAGTTATCTCCTGTTAATTTCCCTCTGAAAGTACTCCACTGCCTTAACTGGGTAATGAACTCACACTCTTTGGTCCTCAAGGACACATGGCACAGTGGATAAATGCGTTGGTTAGATCCAGTGACAGGACCCAAAGAGTGTGAGTTCAATACCAGTTTAAGGCATAATGTATATAATGCACATAATACCTCATCTTAGAAATATAGACAGATACTAAAGGACCGAAACGTTGTAAAAATATGGCGACAAAGATGAGGATAATAGTCCGTATAATGTAAATAGTGTACATAATACCTCATCTCAGAAATATACACAGATACTGAAAGGCCGAAATGTTGTAATAAATATGGTGACAAAGATGAGGACAATAGTCCGAATAATGTAAATAGTGTACATAATACCTCATCTCAGAAATATAGACAAATACTGAGATATAAATGATGATGAATTGTAAATTATGTCCACTCGAAATTATTTATATTTTATTTTTCACGTTTTATTTGGATACGTAGCAAAATATTTCGAAGTATAGCAATACAGATCGAATTTTTATAATGAAAAAAAAAGACAATTTCAATATATATTTTTAAGCTTTAATTTTAGCCTTAAAATAGCGTAAACCTTGCCGTAAAATGTATTTTAGGAATTTAAAGATGGTTTTATGCTATTTAAATGTCATTTCTTTCATCCAAAATTAACTTCGATGACGCTATGATAGATCGCTCACAGAAAAAAAAACAACTCTGAAATTAAAATATTCTGAAATAAAAAATTTAAAAATGTAGCTAATTTAAATAATTTTGAAAAATATTACTGCCATTTTTAATAAAAAAAAATTAAAAGTCACTAAATAAAAATATTTTTAAATTAAAAATTAATTTTAAAAATTTAGGAAATAGTTATTTTAACTAATTTGGAAAAATATTACTTCCATTTTATTTAAAGAATTAAAACACTAATTAAAGTTTCCTGAAATTGAAAAATCTAAAAAATTATTTTTTTCAGTAATTTTGAAAAAAAATATTACTTCCATTTTATTAAAAAAAATTAAAAATCATTAAATAAAAATATTCTGAAATTAAAAAAAAAAAATGTAGCTATTTTAAATAATTTTGAAAAATATTATGTACTTCCATTTTATTCAAAAAATTAAAACTTTAATTAAAATTTCCTGATTTTAACAAAATAAAGAATGTATCTAAATTTAATAATTAGTTAATTTAATAATTAGTTAATTTAATAAGTGCTCAGTTGGATTTGGAAAATTATTACGTTTAATTTTAAAATAGTGCATGTTGTCTCAGTTCAAATATCAAGTGGGTACTGAGTAAGCTTTAATTTACAAGTTTATTTCGACAGCTGAAGTATGGAAGACCAGAAATGTCAAAGCCCGATACAAGCCCGATATCTTACCAAAATTAAAACACAGTCATATAACTGGCAACACTTTAGCGAGTATATAATTATTAATTTCGTGAAAAACTGGTCTGAACTCATTAAATTTATATGAACATATACACTTAAAGATAATGATCTTATTTGAAAAACTAGATACCAGCTTGAAAGGCTGAACAGCTGGTTAAATAATCCTTCGTTAGCAGACAGGCAATAATAGCTGAGCAGAAACGTGCATGCAATATAAAATGGGGTTGTGTGTACGCCTTTTACGATCTCTTTTAATTTTTTTTTCCTGAACAGGACCCTCTTTTCTAAACCTGCTTTAGAAGCACACGCCCTGTTCTCTGCCCATCATCCCCACCCAACCAAAAAGATCATCTTACCCTCTCCTTTTTCGATTCCCGTGAGCCCCGAACATCCCAACGCGTCCCGGTCCCCTAAACTTTTTCTTTCTTTCTTTCTGACTATTGCCACCTTCAAATCAGAACTTGCCCTTTTACAAGATCAACGACAACAATCCGGGACAATACCACCTTTCCCTTTGCCACCCACCACCGCACTCCAATCCTTCAACCGTCCCCGGAGTCCTTTCTTTATTCGCGTTGTTAATGTTAGCTTTTCGGATGAATCGTTTTTGTTTCATCAATCACCAAGAGTCGCTTAATTTTCAAACTGGCAGACGACATCGACCGCCATGTTGGACGCTCGGTCTATTTGCTTATTTTGATTTCATTTCGTTTACTTCTTACCAAATTTTTGAGTAAATTTATTCCTTTGTTACTTAATTTCATTCTTTTTTTATCAGTTAAACATTTTGGTTTGTTTCTTTGTTTCCATCTTTTTTTCATTTACTATTTTTTTCATCCGGCATTTTTTTGTTAGTTTTCATTCTTTTTCCATTTTGTTTCTGCTATTTTTAAATAATTATTTCTCATTTGTGTTTTACTATTTTTTTAATTTTTTTCGTTTTCTCTTTCTTTAGCTTTCTTTCTTTCTTTCTTTCTTTCTTTCTTTCTTTCTTTCTTTCTTTCCTTTCCTTCCTTCCTTTCTTTGGACGTTTCTTTCCCTTTCTTGAAATTCACATCTCTTAGCCGTTTTTGACTTCTTTCTTTTTCTTTCTTTTTCTTTCTTTCTTTAAACATTCCTTCATTCCTTTCTTCTTTCTTTCTTTGATGAGCGTTCTGCCTATCCTTACATATTTCTTTGATATATTTTTTATTTCTTTTCGTTTTTCTTGTTAACCCGTCTCGCTTTTTTAATATTTCTTCCTGTTTTTCTTTATTTAGTCATTCTATTAAAATTTTTAGTCTTACTTTTTCATTTTAGCTTTTTTAAATAATGATATTTTCTAATATTTGTCTATTTTCCCTGTCCTTTCTTCTTTTCCTCTTTTTTTCCCCACTTTTTTTCCTTCCCTCATTCGTTCTTTTTTCTTTATTCCCGCCTTTCTCCCCCCCCCGCCGCTTCCTTCTCCACTTCCTTCCTTTTTTCCGAGGTTTCTTTTTTCTTTTCTTCTATTTGGTTTACTTCTATTCATTTTTTCTTTCTTTCTTTGTGCTTTCAGGGTTTTCCATTATAACTGGTCCTTCTCCTGGCAATGCCGATGGCAATGTCTATTTTCCAAAGACAAAATACAAGCTCAACGAAGTGGGTTAAAAATGGAAGAAGGCTCTCCTTTTTATGTTCTTTTAATTGGCCTCAACCGATCGTCGCCGTTTCGTCTTTTTTAATTACCAACCATTTTGTTCTTTCTCCTTCTTCCCAACATTTTTGTTTATTTATTTTCTTCTTTTGCGTTTTATTTCATTTCCTTCCTTCCTTCTTTTTTTTATATATTTTTTTCTTTCGATCTTTCTTTTCTTTCATCGCCGCCTTTTTATTTTTCTTATGTCCATCAATTTTGAAATCATATTTTTTCTTTCTTTTATTTTTTTTTAATAATTTTCTTTTCGCTTTCTATCGTCCCTTTCATTTTAATTTCCTTCTTTTTGTTCGTCTGGATTTTTCTATTCATTGATCTTTTTTTTTCTTTTTTTTTCTTTTTTGTTTTTAGCTCTCTTTAACATTTCTTTCTTTCTTTCTTTGAACATTTCCTTCCTTCTTTCTTTCTTTCTTTCTTTTTTGAACATTTCTTTTTTTTTTCTTTTTTCTTTCTTTGTTCTTTCCTTCATCTCTTTTGAACATTTCTTTCTTCCTTTCTTTGAGCATTTTTATCTTTTTTGAACATATCTTTCTTTCTTTATTTCTTTTTTAAACTTTTTTTTATATTTTTTAACATTTCTTTCTTTCTTTCTTTGAAATTTTCTTTCTTTCTTTTATTGAACATATTTCTTTCTTTATTTCTTTTTTTGAACATTTCTTTCTTTCTTCCTTACTTTGAACATCTCTATATTTTTGAATATTTATTTCTTTCTTTATTCCTTTCTTTTTTTGAACATACTTTCTTTCTTTTTTCTTCTTTTATTTTTGAACATTTCTTTCTTTCTTTCTTTCTTTCTTTCTTTCTTTCTTTCTGTTTTCTTTCTTTGGACATTGCGTTCGTTTGTTTAAACTTTCTTTCATCCTTCCTTTCTTTGAACAGTTCTTTCTTTCTTTCTTTCTTTCTTTCTTTCTTTCTTTCTTTCTTTTTTTCTTATCAAACTTTTCTCACCCTAAATTAATTCACAAGCTACCTTGAATCTCTAGCTTATACAGCAAGACCTTTTGCATTGAGTTTATCCTGAGGCAAATCATCCAAATTTCTTCTTAGAAAACATTCACTGTTGTCTTCTAAAAGATTTTAAAGCAAGACTTTAAACACTTTCATTGACTTTTTGTCTAAAATCTTTCAGAATTGCAAAAATTTGCAAGAGTGATAATTCCTGCAATCTTTCTCAAAAACGCCTCAATTCGCTGTTTTGCTTTCCTGGTGATGCCATTACCGAAATTCGTTTTGTTCCCGACAGTGTATAATATTTTGATTAAAGTGAAATGATTTTCTTTTAAATGTCTGCGTTTAAAAGGAGCCTTAAGTAATTAATTTCAAGAATTCCATTAAGCTTGTTTAGGGGGTCAGGTGACCCTAACCTTTCAAGCGAATGTCAGTTGTTCCTTTAAGATATGGAAAGAGCATCTTTCCATTATTATTATTATTATTATTATTATTATTATTATTATTATTATTATTATTTGGGATGCTCTCTGAATCTTAAATGTGTCGGCCGGGTGGTGGTGATCATAGCGAATCTCCTACCTGCAGTTTAAGGACAACGCTTTTCTCAGCACATGAGCTCTTCCAAATAGTGCTGCCACCTGAACACTTGCAATGATGTCCAGTATCCCCAAGGCATCCTGTGTATCAGACACGTTCCTGAAAATCGACCCAGAGTGCGCCAATCACGAATGGGAACAACTCGAGCTGCTGCCTGGTACATTTCTCTTCTTAGCTCTGCTAGATCTTGGTACCTCTGTATTTTTGTTTGCTCTTCCTTCACGATGTTCCAGGGTATCTCAACGTCTATCAGGGTCCATTCATGACTGCTTTTGTGCACAGATGTGATATCAGATCAGTCATGAATGTATAATCATAATAATAACAATGATAACAATAAATTATTATTATTATTATTATTATTATTTATTTGTGTTGCATACCCCTCTCCTTCTGGGTCCCAACCAGAGATCTAAGGTTAGAAATGGCACCACTGAGCATTTTAGTGAAAAATACAAAAATAAAAATCTGTCCTAGTTATGACGATAAATTACATCCGCGTCCTGGGTAAGACGATAAAACTACGTCCAACAGCAAGGCCTTTGATCAGGAGGTTTTGAGGAGCGTAGAACCACCTCTTAATTGCTAGTGTTCCCCGGTCTACCCTGACCCGGGGTGGTAGCACCTGTTAGGGTCCCAACTATGGGCAAATAGTTAACTTCAAATTGGGGTCAAAACGCTATGAAAGTGTAAAAAAAAAAAAAAAAAAGAAAAAAAAAAAGGTTTTAATACCAGCAATGATTTTTTTAAGAGAACATTATTACCAGTAATACATTATTGCGATCAATACACTTTTGGACAAAAAATATTAGCAGCTATACTTTTTTGAAAATAAATATATATTAACAGCAATAAAAATCTTGTCGGCATTAAATAACCCATTGAGGTGTTGATATGCCGTAAAACAAAATCAAACCAAACAGAAAAAAACAAAAATAAAAATAAAACGACTTAAGATCACACACATTTTACATAGATAAAGCCCTTCGTAAGGTGTGACCTTTATATGTGAGGTTTACCTTAGGAAGGTATCTAGAGTTTTTCTGGTTATGTAAGCAGTGCACATGAGTACATTATTATTATTATTATTATTATTATTATTATTATTATTATTAGTAGTAGTAGTAGTAGTAGTTCCTATGATTTGTGTTGTATATTCATTTCCTTCCGGGTCCCAAACAGAGATCTAATCTCAGATATGGCATCATAACATTTTCACTGAATAATTTTGCAAATAAAATAAAAATAGAAACAAAACAACCGAAGATCAATCACATTTTACATTGATTAAGCACTTCGCAAGGTGTGAGCTGTACTTGTGAGAACATTTTTTTATATTTCTTTAAGGCATGGGCTTCCAGGAATCTTTTCAATGAGTCTATCAGAACGTTTCCTAATAAAACCTAGGCCTCCAACTCCAACTGGATTTGTTAATGTCTCCATGTGCTAGATGTTTGAGATTTCCACTTCAAGGTCCTTGTATTTTGATAGTTTTTTGAAGGGACTGCCATGTCAATAAAGAGGCACATTTTATCTTTGCGGTCTCTAATCACGATGTCAGGAAGATTAGCTTTGATTGTTCTGTCTGTGTGTATTGTAAAGTCCCATTATCTCCGTAAGCGGGCGATTATTATTATTATTATTATTGCGTGAGAGACATCACGCCGACGAATTACCGCTGGGGTACAAATATGCAAGACCCACTATACCCATCATGGCATCCAGTCTGATAAGAGCGTTACGGTAGGAGGTTTAGACGAAAGCAGCACATAAACTTGAAGTTGGGGACCAGTTCACTTAGGCGGTCTCCCATTGAGGGTGTTCCCATGTAACTCCCAATTTGTTTTGAATGTTTCATCCTTCAAGCTTAAAAAAAAAGCAACGCCGTCGACACCCGGTCATGAAGATCCCTTATTACTCTCGCCCATGAACAGATATGCACAATAATAGTGAGAAGATGCTCACTCTTAGGAGATATGGCCAACTGGTTAGCAAATCCATTGTACTGATCGAACCTAGTTTGATTCGCCAACATGTATATGTTAACATCTCTAATCAATTATGATAAGAAGCCACGAGAGCCATACCCTTTATATTATTATTATAACTACTAGTTCGATATCTATCGCTTCGTTTGTTTGTCCATTTAGAATAATATATACACCCTTGTGCAAATTAATTGAAACAAAACGAATAATTATAATATTATTTACTTTTTTTTGTATTTTTTTCATTGAAACATGACCCAGTGCATATGTTAATATTGTTCCTTGTAGATTCATCACAGATTCTGGATTGGATTGAAATCAGGAGAGTTTCCGGGCCAATCTATGGGACTTTGATTTGCTCACTGGTAAGGCTTGCCAGTGTGTTCGTGCAGCGTTACAATTTTCGTACGCTTCTTTGGAGTAACGTCCATTGCAGACAATGGCCGTAGGACAACTAATCGACAGTCGAGACAATAGTGTGTGAGAATGATGAAAATCTGATGCAATCACGGATGACGCAATATTTTTCAAGGCCAAACAAATTTCATCATACACCCCGAAAATAGATTCATATTACTTCACACCACTTCAAATGACCTAATCTGAGGAAAAAAATAGAAATCGATTACAGCGTCACTCTAATGGGTCTAAGACTGACCGTATGCTGAAAGAAAGGAAACTAAAGCGGTTGTTTCAGTTAATTTGTATAAAACTGTATATTAGTAAATCGGTCCAGTTTAAATACTGGAGTTATAAAAATGACTTCAAAGAGACAGCTTATATTCATTCTCAATTCTCCAAGGGTTTTTGCCAGGCCAAAAGAGAATTAGGCTTTATAACACAGATGTTCCTTTCAATTTCATTCAAATTGTGTGTACATATGTATATTTACGCGGACGCATGTTTGTTTATATTCAATGACAGACATAAAAATTGTTCCTCCATGTCACCCGGTTCACACTGCTCTTTCTCTTTTGAACAGGAGCAGAAGTTTATCCTTTGTTTCCTGTTTAAGATTGGGTTTCCGCTTCCTTCTAAAGTCTACTTTAGCTCAACATCTAAAGTCTCCGCCTAAACTCTGAAATTTAATTCCCTATTTTTTCCATTCAATATGATTAGATATCGTCTGGTTCGTAATAAAGCCTTTAACGTTTTTGGAGGAAATAAATTTAAATATTACATTAATTTCAAAATCCTAAAGTTGAAATTTCATTCCAGTGATCAGTGAAAGCCTTATAGCACATCCTTATAAAATCTATAATTTATTGAAGCTTTACAAATTGTATCTGGACAAGATGTATGGCACAAGTACATTATTACTAAATCATTTGTGCCATCAAATAAGACCTTCATTTACTTCAAAAGGAAATTCTACTGAACAATTTAATTATATTACGATATAATATGTTATACAGTGCAATAGTTTTAGTCACTGGGATTTTCATTAAACAATGTAAATTTAAAATATTTTGTCTTATAATTTGTGCCCAGTAGTATTATGGTGTTATATACACTTATATCTATTTTTTGTTTTTATTAAATATGGTCTAATAAATGATCTAACAAATCTCATTCATTGTGCAGCCTTTTTTGTAATCTTTTTGTTGTGACCAAGTAAATGGATAAAGAAATAACAAAACAAGTGTTACAGATATATCATATATTAAAAAGTAAGTACAACGGAAGAGTATTACACGACTAGTGAGTGTGTGTCGGTTGACCCAGCGTTCAATCTATTCGACTAATGATATTTAACAGCCCCCCCCCACGAGGGATGTATGTGTCACAAGATCGAGTCTACCGTGGGTTCTCTGAGCCCGTAGGCTCGGACAAAAATATTCCCTTAGAACCTGCATAAACGGGTTCAGGGTCTGTCTACCTTCCCAGGCGAAACTTTACCCTTCGGCAAAGCCTTGTCCGGGTTTCTCAGTTCGACAGTTGAACAATCTATGCGACCGTTCCCCCAAGGCCTTCTCTCCAACTAA